AGGTGAAGTGATATTTATTTTCCATTTTATACTGTCCTGCAAAAATTAGGGAGAAAAAAAGCCTACAGGGCTCTAAAGGATTACCATTCCAAGCTCTGAGAAGAGACTGATTACTTTCCACAGGACCCATCACCAGACAGCGTTGGGGGGTGGGGGGGCAGGCCTCCTGAGAGGTTCTAGGCTCCTCAGGCTGCAATCCATCACCACCATATGGATGAGAAAGCTCGGCAGCAGACCGCCCAATGCTGAGGAGTGCTGTGTCAAGGGCAGGTTCCCTTCTCAGCTGCCTCCATTCCTCTACCAGGCACTGCTCAGTACCCACAGCAGGGTGGGGAGCATGCCCCATGGCACTCCTGGGAAATCGACTGCTACAGGGCCCGTTAGAATCTGCAATGGTGCAGCTCTTAATCCTTTTACTAGCCTTGTGGACATGCACAGGCCTACCCTGAAAACATCAGAAAACTGTATAAAAATCTCTCAAGGGAGGCATCCAGCTGTTAGCAGTCATCCAGATGTTAGCCTTCTCGAGGATCCAATAGTGACAGTGCTGTGGCACACACCCCACTGCCAGAAGTGCAGGTTCGTGAGAACCTTAGTTCCCTGAGAGAAAGTCATCTTTTCTTTTCATAACATCTTTGGGCAAAAAAAAAAAAGACAGGAAAAGACAAATTTGGGTGGAAAACTTATTAGGCAAATCAGTGCTGGACTAGCTAGAGAGCGCCTGCATGAGACTGGCCCAGAGATCTGTCCACTGCATGTCCCCTCCCATGCTCTACCTACAGTGCATACACCACATGTCTACTCAGAGAGGACACTGGCGGCTCAAAGTCCCGAAACACCTTGTGACACAAAGAAACATCTGAAAGGCTAAGAAGCCTGATCTCGCTCGCTCGCTCTCTCTCTCTCTCTCTCTCTCTCTCTCTCTCTCTGTCTCTCTCTCTCTCTGTCTCTCTGTCCTGTTCACACATAAAGCCAGGTCCTTGCTTGCTGTGACTTAGGAGAACATTTCCTAGATTGCCCCTAATGTCCAAAGACGGCAGCAGCCACTACTAATTTTTCAGAGAAATTGGAGAACTGTCATGGCCCCAGGAGACCTGAAGGCGGGCTTTGTTTCCTAAGACCAGTAAGAACACTGAGAGAAGTTAGTCACGAGGAGCTACGTTAACAGGCTAATCAGGCGGTCTATTAAAACCATTAGTTTCATTAAGAACTTGTCAAAGCTGGGTGACATCCCTTTTTACATCCCAAGGAGCGTCCCTTTCTATGATCGATCACAAAGCCCCAAATGTTATTTAGGACTTTCATTTAGGATTTCTGCCCTACCTGATAGAAATCATCCCTAAGTCATTTAAAGGCTGACTTCATACAGGAACAGGTTCCCCAGCTATTGGCAAAACTGAGCACAGGGCAACAGAACCATAGGACAAGCCTGCCCGAGTTAAAAATTAAAGTGATACCGCAGGAGAGCGCTCCAACAATCGTGGCCAAGGTGAGCAGTGTGCACAGACAGAATAAATTATGAATTTTAATAAACATCACATCCTACCTAACAACTGCTGGGGAATACACTCATTCTTGCTTAAAGATGCCATTTCTCCTTCATGCCAAACAAACAGTAACTCATTACAGCAATTGAAACAGACACCGAAGGGAGGTTTTGATTAAGGTCATGAATCTGGACTGACAGGAAAGCGATGGTGTATCGGGGCAAAAGCCTATTTAGGGAAGAATTAGACCTCGTAGAGGGGAAGGTGCTTTTCATGTGGTGAAGGAGCTCTGCACCTTCTGAACCAATCCGCTACAAGAGGACCACGAGCCCACACCACAACACAGCTAAAAAGAAAGGGGAATTGTCTTAGGACCAGTTTTCCTGTAAGAAACAACTAATAAGAACAAGATGCCGTCCTCTACCTCTTTTTACTTCAAAAAGATTATTTGACTCTAAGTTCCAGAGAGTTTATTTACATGTGGAAATGCTTTAAAACTCCTGAGAGCCCCTGGGAGAGCAGGATGCCAGGGTGCCCACGATTAACACCCCTGCCTTCTTTTCCCTGGATGAATGTCAAGCTGCTGACCTGGAATGTATCTACCTTGTGAATAATGAAGAACAATCAAACTGATTGAATAGTTCTGCTAAGGAAGCATCACATCAATCAACCACAGAGAGAAGACACAAGGTCCAGACAGGAAGTCACTACTATTCTTCTGCTGTCTGATTGTCCCCAAAGGGTATTTCTCAGTCATCTAGAAGAACAGTGTGTGCAGGTAGAGGCAGCTGGACCCAAGTGGAGGCACCCTGCTGGAACTCACCAACCTGGAGAGGAAAGCTGCACGTGCACCTCAGGAGACAGAGCTTCCAACAAGACGGCAAACTTGTCCAAGCACACTGTCCAGGACACACCGAAGAGGAACACAGCCGACATCAACACTTTAAGGTTCTTAGGAAGTTGACACTATGACCTTTTCTCAATCCTGTCCAGTCATGTACTAAGCGTTTGCTCCACCGCCAGGCATGGAAGAGTGAGCAAGAACCACTGAGTAGTCAGGTTGACTCTTGTCCTGACTCGTGTCCCTGTAAGGCTGCTAAATTAACCTGGAAGTATGTACATCTGAGGGTTTGCCTCTGCCTCCTGCCTCAATTTCTGCAACTGAAAGGAACCACCTGGTCTATTGTCAGACACATGAGAAACTGGCCAGCCAATCTCCACTCCCAGCCACAGTCAATCCTAATTGAGTCATGAAGCTACTTCCAGAAAAGGTGAAAGCTATTTTGTAAAATTAAGGGATTGTGCCAGGCTGGTAATCACACTTCACAGTCACATTTTTTCAAAGTTTAAAATGTCAGCCGGGCATGACACCTTTGATCCAAGCATTTTCGAGGCAGAGGCAATCGTATCTCTGAGAGTTCAAGACCAGCCTGGTCCACAGAGTGAGTTCTAGGACAGCCAGGGCTACACAGAGAAATCCCGTTTTGAAAAAACAAAACAAACAAAAAGAAGTTTAAAATGTCAATTAGACCAGTTTCCTTAAAGGAGCCAAAATTATATAAGCTATATAATTCTCATCTGGGACCTGCCCTTTCATCTTTTCAAAAATGTCACTGGCAGGACATGTCCAAAGATCCACTTAGCACTAGACACTCCCTAGACACACCTGCTGCTGTCCCTCACAGGCTTCTCCACACCCCAGAGGACCCATGCACTAGCATGGTATTTGTTTTTTTTTCCTTTCCGTTTAGTGACCCTGGCCACATACAGACTTTCTCTTCTACTCTGAAATCCAGTCAAACTTTTTTAGTAGTTTTTAACAGGTCCTACTACATTGCTCAGGCTCGTCTCAAGCTCACCAGCTGAGTGAGCTCTCTAGTGTCAGCCTCCCACCCAGCAGGAACCAGACATACTTGACAGTGCTTATCACTGAGACCTTGAAGGCACCCATACCCCCACACGCAAGGTCATGAGTCTGTCCATTCTAGATCACCGCTGCAGCAAAGCTGCCTGTCACACTTCTCTCTGCCCATCCTCACTAGATTAGCTAATGTGTAACTGTCCTCCTATGAGCCTACCACTAGTAAGTGAAGATCACTTCCTAACACCTACCAAGGAAGCATCGCATCCTTTTAGTCAACAATCTGTTACAAAGATTCAGTCCAGTTTACCACTGATCTCACAGGGCACGCAAAATGTAAGTCAGCTAGTGTCTGGGTTGAAAACTGCATCCTCCTCCAAAATTCCTGACACCTATAAACTGGGGAAGACTTTTATTTGGAAACAGAATCTGCAGATATAATTACGTTTGACTGAGAGAACACTAAAGAGGCATAAGTCCTAATCCAATGACTGACATCCTCCTAATAGGGAAATGCTGACGCAGATACAGGAAGGCAAAGGCAGAAACTAGGGAGAGACGCACTACCACCAGAGGCGTGCAGTATCAAGGACTGTCAGTGAGCCATCAGACATTACGGAAGGGGGAAGGGGAGTCCTTCCCAACAGCCTTCATAGAGAGCATGCAGCCCTGCTGACAACCTGGGTGAGCCTCCTAGTCTGCAGACGTGGGAGAGAAGAGTGTTCTACTGTAAGCAGTGCAGCATGCAAGAGCTCACTCCATAGCACAGCTCTCAGAAACGAATGGAAGCCGAGTAGAGTGGTGTACATGTTTAATCCCAGTGCTCAGGAGGCTGAGGCAGGTGGATCTCTGTGAGTTCAAGGCCAGTCTTGTCTACATAGTAAGTTCCAAGACAGCCAGAGACACATAATAAGACCCATCTCAAAACAAACCAAAGGAAAGAAGGAGAGAAGGAAGGAAGGAAGGAAGGAAGGAAGGAAGGAAGGAAGGAAGGAAGGAAG